TGGTGTCGAGGATGTGCCCCCACCTGCCACGCTGTGCGAGCCCGAAACAAATAGCGTTCCCACCCGCAGCGCGTCCCCTGTGGTGTCGAGGAAGTGCCACGCCTGCCGCGCTTTGCGAGCCCGGAACGGATAGCGCTCCCACCCCCAGCTCACCCCCTGTGGTGTCGAGGATGTGCCACGCCTGCCACGCTTTGCGAGCCCGACACGGATAGCGCTCCCACCCCCAGCTCACCCCCTGTGGTGTCGAAGATGTGCCACGCCTGCCACGACTTGCGAGCCCGACACGGACAGCGCTTCCACCCGCAGCGCATCCCCTGTGGTGTCGAGGGAGTGCCACGCCTGTCACGCTTTGCGCACCCCCTGTGGTGTCGAGGATGTGCCCCCACCTGCCACGCTGTGCGAGCCCGAAACAAATAGCGCTCCCACCCGCAACGCGTCCCCTGTGGTGTCGAGGAAGTGCCGCGCCTGCCACACTGTGGGAGCCCGACACGGATAGCGCTCCCACCCCCGGTTCACCCCCTGTGGTGTCGAGGGTCGAAGAAGTGCCACGCCTGCCACGCTTTGCGAGCCCGAAACAGATAGCGCTCCCACCCACAGCGCAGCTCCTGTGGTGTCGAGGATGTGCCACGCCTGCCACGTCTTGCGAGCCCGAAACGGATAGCGCTCCCACCACCAGCGCATCCCCCAAAGTGTCGAAGATGTGCCACGACTGCCGCGCCTTGCGAGCCCGAAACGGCTAGCGCTCCCACCCCCAGCTCACCCCCTGTGGTGTCGAGGAAGTGCCACGCCTGCCGCGCTTTGCGAGCCCGACACGGACAGCGCTCCCACCCCCAGCTCACCCCCTGTGGTGTCGAGGAAGTGCCACGCCTGCCGCGCCTTGCGAGCCCGAAACGGATAGCGCTCCCACCCACAGCGCAGCCCCTGTGGTGTCGAGGATGTGCCACGCCTGCCACGCTTTGCGAGCCCAAAAACGGTTATCACTCCCACACGTAATTGGGTGTATGATGCAGTGAACACGCCAGGCGTGCACTAGCGTTGTATGGTGTGTGTGTGTGTGCGTGTGTGCGTGTGTGTGTGTGTGTGTGTGCGTGTGTGTGTGCGTGTGTGTGTGTGTGTGTGTGTGTGTGTGTGTGTGTGCGTGCGTGCGTGCGTGCGTGTGTGTGAGTGTGCGTGTGAGTGTGAGTGTGAGTGTGAGTGTGAGTGTGAGTGTGAGTGTGAGTGTGAGTGTGTGTGTGTGAGTGTGAGTGTGAGTGTGAGTGTGTGTGTGTGTGCGAATGTGTGCATGCGTGCGGCTGCATGTAGACGCGTGTCTGATGCACGTGCCGTGCATGGGTTGCGTGTGGGTGAAGGGAGGAACGAAGTGGAGGAGGGGAGGAAGTAGGAGGGAGGGGAGGTGGGTGAAGAGGAGACGCGGGTGCGACGCGGCAGGGATGAAAACCAGAGCCCCACGAAGCATGTGGGGAAAAAGGTGGGGAGGAGGAGGAGGAGGAGGAGGAGGAGGAGGAATAGAAGAAGGAGGAGGACGAGGAGGAGGGGGAGGAGGAGGAGGAGGAGGAGGAGGAGGAGAAGAAGGAACGCGGGTGCGACGCGGCAGGGAAGAAAACCAGGACCCCACGAAACATGTGGGGGAAAACCGTAGGAAATCTACGATTTGGACCTCTGGGGCCTCTTGGGACTCCAAGGGGGCCTCAAGATGGCCCAAAATGGCCCCAAGACGGCCCCAAGACGGACCCGGATGGTCCCAAGAAGGCACCGTGAGGCCCCCAAGACGGCTCAAGGGAGCCCCAAGAGGACTCGAAAAAGCGCCTCCAGGAGCCAAAATCACAGATTTCCCGTTGACTTTTGAAAGACTTTAGCGTTCTCACCTTTTTCGGCTCTCAGAGGGTCATGACGGGCCAAGCAGCCTACAAGAAGACCTCAAGACGGCCAACGAGGCCCCCAAAGGGGCCCCAGGATTGCTCAAGAGGGCCCCGATACGGCCGAAAGAGGCCCCCAAGACGGTCCAAGGGGCTCCCAAGACGGCCCAAGAGGACCCCAAGAGAGCTCTAAGGCGGCCGCGAGAGGCCTCCCAGATGGCCTACGAAGGGGCAAGACGGCGCAAGAGCGCCACAAGCCAGCGCAAGACGTCAACAAGAAGCCCCAAGAGGGCCCAAAGCGGCCCCAAAGACGCTCCAAGAAGCCCCCACGAGGCTTTCAAGAGGCTCCCAAGAACCCCCCATGATGCCGCCCAGAAGCCCTGGGGATTGCAGGACGGAGCTGCACGCACGCGCGGCAGCCGAGCAGGTCACGCCAACCAACGCCCACACCTTCCACAATTGAGCACTTTTCCACAGCGGCGATTACCGCCGCGAGAGGCCCCAGACCAGCCTCGAGAGGCCCCCAGACCGGCCTCCGAATGGACCACACGCGGCAAGAGCGCCCCAAGACGGCCCAAGACGCCCCCAGGAGGCCCAAAGAGTCTCCAAAGAAGCCCAGTGCAGAAGAGGCCCCAAGAAGCCCCCAAGACACCTCCAAGAGGCCACAAAGAAGCTCCCAAGAGGTCCCACAACGACTGGACTGTACGTGCTCCAAAGGTGCACCCCGCGAAGCGAGAGGAATCAAAAAGAAGATCCGTGAACTTTGGCTCTTGAGGTGGTCTGGGGAGTGCTCGTGGAGGTCTATCGGGGCGTCCTGGATGCCTCTGGGACCGCCAGTCTCGGGGACCTCTGGGGCCGCCTTGGAGGCCTCCGGGGCTCTCTTGGGGGACAATTGGGGCGTCTTGGGGCTCTCTTGGGGGCGTCTTGGGCAATGCTGGGGCGATCTCGGATGCCTCTTGGGCCGCCTTGGAGCGTCGGAAAGCTGAAGAGACGATAACGCCAACATCCAAATCCTTTGTAACTTTGAATTAATGAATGCTGCTTCTCTTGGGGGCCTCTTGGGTGCCTTTTGGGGCCTCTTTGGGGCTTCTGGGGGCCTCTTGGAGCTTCTTTGGGCCTTTCGGGGCCGAGGGCTCGAAATGTCCGTTCGGGGCCCTCGTCTGGACCCTCTCTTGGAGCCGTCTTGGAGGCCTCTTGGGGCCGTCGTGGGGCCCTCAGCCTCTCGGGGCGTCTTGGAGCCCTCTTGAGGGTTGGGCAGTTCGGGGGCGGTTTTGGAGGCCTCCCAGACCGCCTTGGAGCATCGAGAAACCGAACAGGCGAGAAAGCGAAACTCGTCAAAAACCATTGATAATTCAATGACTGCTGCATCTTTGGGCACTCTTGGGGGGCCTCGTGACGGCCTCTTGTGGCGTCTTGGAGGTCTCTTGGGCGGCCTGGGGGCATCACTCAAAAACGTTCGGAAGATCAATTAATTTCGGCTCTTCTGGTGTCTGGGGAGCGCTCGTGGAGGTCGATTGGGGCGTCCTAAAGGCCTCGGGGACCGCCGTCTCAGGGGCCTCTGGGGCCGCCTTGGAGGCGTCTGTGGCCATCTTGGGGGACTATTGAGGTGGGCCTCTGGGGCAGCCTTGGAGGCGCCTGGGGCCCTCTTGGTGGACTCTTGGGGTTTCTTGGGGCCCCCTCGGGGATGTCCTGAGCAGTGCTGGGGCACTGTTGGAAGTCTTTGTGGCCGCCTTGGAGCGTCGGAAAGCCCAAAAGGCGACAACTCCCAAACCATCTGAAATATTGAAAAATCAATTAAGTTGCGTCTTTTGGGAGCCTTTGGAGGGCCTCTTGGGGCCTCCTGGGGGCCTCTCGGAGCCCAAGGCTCAAAATGTCCGTTCGGGTCTCCCGCCTGGGCCCCCTCTCTTGGAGCCGTCTTGGGGGCACCTGGGCCGTCTTGCAAGCGTATTGGGCCGTCTGAAGGTTGTCTTGGGCCATATTGCGCCCTCTTGGAAGCTTCATCGGCTGTCTTTGGAGCTGTGTAGCGCCTTTGGGGCCGTCATGGAGCGTCGGGAAGCCGAAAAAGCGAGAAAGCCAGAATCCGTCAAAAACCAACGGAACATCAATTGTTGTTGCATCTTCGAGCCCTCTCGGGGGTGTTCACGGAGGCCTTTGGGGGCGGTCTCGAAGCATCTTGGGCCGACTCTTGGGCCGACAGGAGGCCATCTTGGGCGTCTTGGCGCGATGTTTGGGCGTCTCGGGGCCCTCTTGAAGTGCCTGGGGGCCAACCTCGACGACGGACGGCTATCGAGTGACCTCGCCCTGGGCCCTGGGAAACCTTCAGCTCCCGCCAGACTGAACGAGCGGAACGACCCAAGCAACGCCAGCAGGCCCCCAGGCCGAGAGGCCGAGGGGATCGGGGCGCAGCCAGCCTCGCACTCGTCCAAGCCCGAGCGGTCACACCCTGTGGCCGACGGCGCGTTGAACGGGTGGAGGTCGGGCCACACAGGTCCCTGCCAAGGCAGCGGCTACCATCGCCAGCAGCACGGACAGGATGGCCCATGGGCCTCCTTGAGGGGGCTAACCCCGCGGCGCGGCCGATGGCGGGCTCCGAGCCAAGGCTCGCGCGCGCTCCTCAGCTCGCACTCCTGGGCCGTAGGCCAGGGCACGCCGCGCGCAATGAAAAACTTCTTGCGACATATGAAGAGGGGAATTAGACTTGGAGGGAGGGTTGATTGCAACATCGTTGATGCATCTTGGGTTCAAACTCGCCCTCCTCCTCCTCCTCCTCCTCCTCCGCCTCCGCCGCCGCCTCCTCCTCCTCTCGCTCCTCCTCCTACTCCTCCTCCTCCTCCTCTTTCTCGTCTTCTTCTTCTTCTTCTTTTTCTTCTTCTCCCTTCTCCCTTCTCCCTTCTCCTCCTCCTCCTCCTCCTCCACCTCCTCCTGCTCCTCCTGCTCCTCCCTCCATCCCTCCCTCCCCCCCCCCGCTCCCCTCCCTCCTACTCCTGCTCCTGCTCTCTCTCCTCCTCCCAGTCCTCCTCCTCGGTTCATGCATCTCCTTCGCCTCCGAGACATGAGCGGGGAGGAAAACCAGACCGCGGGCCGCGGGCCACGCCGACGAGGGGCGGAACCCAGAACGCCCGTCGGCCCGGCATCGGCGGGCGCCTGCGCTGTACGCGTGGCCCGCGCTCTCCACGGCCCGCTCCGGCGAGCAGACCTCCACGACGGGCAGCACGAACGGCGGCTCCGCCGCGGCCCCACTTGGCGCCAGGCGGTCCCGCAGCGCCGCCCAGCCCGCACCCTGGCCCGCGCCGCGCGGGGGCTCTGGCACGTCCCCCAGCCGGAACAGCTGCGCCTGCTGCTTGGAGGCGAGGTCGTGGTAGTCGTAGCCCGCCTCCTCTCGGGGCAAGCGAGAGGGGAAGGGGGGACAGCTAAGGGGAGGGGGGGGGAGAGAGAACTGAGCCGCATGAAGCTGGTTTTCCAGGCACCTCCCGGCGCCCAAAGGCGACCGTGCAGGTGTCGAAGCACAGCACCGCGCGACGCGGCACGAAACCGGCTGAACGCAGCAATTGTTAGCGTATACCCCCCCTTTCCAAGTCCCAAACCTGTTCTGGTTGTCTTGACTGTTTCGATGGCTGGTCCCTGGAATTCTGGACCACGTCCCAGGGACCAGTTTTTCACCCTGGATCGTTTTCTGACGGTCCTGGGACCTGGCGAGGGCTCCCAGACGCCGAAAACGACGAAAGACCTCCGCATTGTTTTCTCAACACGTTGAGGGTCTGGGATACCCTAACTCTGGATCCGCCGCACAATGGTTGATTGTTCTACTTCAGGTCGTGTCGGACAGGCATCCCAAACGATACGAAAAGGCAGGGCAGAACTTTCCGCCTCGGCAAGGTGGACGGATACCTGCGCAGGTGCTCGGCGGAAACAGCGACGGCATAGTAGGGCGGCAGGCCGGGCGCAGCTCCCCACCCCACTCACACAGTCGCCCAAAGCGCGGCGGCTCTGGAGCCAGGGTACATCCCCGCCTATCGTTGCCCCGGGGGGGACTGGCTCAGGGGGTCGGGGCGAACGAAGACCCCGAATCGGCGATACGTCGCCCACGGATCGGCGATGCCTGGACCCCCGATGGTGAATCCGCACGGGCCTGGGCGTGGTGGGGAAATCAGGCCCCTCCCGGCGATCACTGGGCGACTGGGGGGCCGATGAGCTCCCCCCGCCGGGCCGTCCCCTCCCCATCGGTGCCCCCGTCGTCCGACCCGATCCTCCCCGTAGGCCCGCAGCGCGGCCTCCATCTCCGCCACGGAGCCGCACAGCGCCGCTGCCGGCAGCTTCGGCTCGGGCCTGGCTGGCGGCTCGCCGCCGGCCCCAGTGCACAGGGAGGGCCAGAACTGCGCCAGGTGCCTCTCGTCGGCGCGCCAGGGGGGGGGGGACTCAGAGGATCGAAAACCTCCGTTCTGGAGGTCGGACCTCCATTCTGGAGGCGAAGTGGCCTCTAGAATGAAGAAAGAAACCCTCATAGTGGAGGTCGGACCTCAATTCTGAAGGTGTTTGATCCTCTGGGGAGGTGAGGGGGCAGGCCCTCCGAGAAGGCGGCGGGGCCTCCCGGGAGCCCTCACGCATTCTCCCGAGAAGCCCTGTGACTCGCGTGAACCCTCTGCGAAAGCCGCGGGCGGCCTCTCAGAAGGCGCGAGGGCTTCTGAGAAGCCCCGCCGCCTTCCGAGAAGGCCTGTCGCATCTCCCCTGGGCGCCCCGACGAGCCTCACCACCTCGGACACCGTGGCGGCGTGGAAGGACTGCGCGAGGGATACGGAGGTCTGCCGGGACAAGGGCACGTCGGCGGAAGTTTGTCTGGACAGGGGCACATCGTCGTACAGCGGAGCGGGGGGCGGGGGTACGTCTCCGTCGGGGCTGGCCGGCTCAGCCGGCATGTCGTCACCCAGCAGAGCCCGGACGCAAGCTGACATGGACAGAAAAGGAAAACACCGCATGAACGGGAACTTTCGAAGGTCTGCGCGGATTTCTCAGATCGGCGCTGGACCCCCTCCGTTGAGCGCGGAGCGCGCCAGGGGCGGCGCCAAAGGGATCGCGAGGGCCAAAGGGAACCAGCGCATATCCAGGAAACCCGCACGGCGGCCCTCCGACAGTTCATGCTTGTGCCGTCTCTTCCCCTTCGAATGGAGGCGCTGATGCTCTCGAGGTTGTACCCGCCCTCCAGAGCGAGAACCACCCGTCCGCCCGCGAGGCCCATCAGCTCAGAGGTGAGCCTGTGGTACCCCGCCGGCGTCACGTGACAGCCGCCCAGCGGGTCGCCCTCCGCGGCGTCGAAGCCAGCGCTCACCAGGACCAGGTCGGGGCGGAAGTCCGCGGCGATCGGTAGCAGCACGCGGGCGAAGGCATCGAAGTTCGGGTGTTGCCCAAGGTGTCCCTGGCCCAAGGTGTCCCCAGTTTTTCGCTCTATCTTGGAGCGCCTGGGGCCCTCTGGGCCTCGTGAGGGGTACTCTGAAGACCATCCAGGCCTCCTTGGAAATCTCCTGGGGGAACCCTGGCCCAGGGGTACCTCTGGCACCACCCGAGAAGTACTCCTCGTCCCCCGGTGCGCGGTTGGCCTTCCGGATGCCTCCGCGGACGTCCCACGGGACGTTGACGGAGAAGCCTTCGCCATCCGCGGTGCCGTGGCTGGTGTAGTGGCCGTAGATCCCGCCCGGGTAGAAGTACCCGTTGTCGTGCCGGTGAACGGAGAAGAAAAGCACGCTGCCGTCCGACTCGAACATTCGCTGGGTGCCGTTGCCGTGGTGCACGTCCCAATCCACGATGAGCGTCCGCTGGGACCAGCCGCGCGCCCGGGCCTGGGGGAATAACAGATACCGACACCGCAGCTCCCTGACCCTCTCGCTGCGTGCGTTCTGGCCAGAATCTCGAGGAATCATCCAGCCGTAGCAACGGGGACTCTCCAGGAGAAGCAGTGGCATCGGTATCTTTTCCTCCTCGGAGCCTCTGCGGCGGCTAGTCCCACGTTGCCAAAGAGGCAGAAGCCCATCGGGCGATCCCTCTCGCAGTGGTGGCCGGGCGGGCGCACCACGCAGGCGGCGGCGAGCACGTCCCCGCTGCACACGCGCTCGGTGGCCTCGAGCACCGAGCCGGCGGAGAGCAGCGCGGCGCGGGTGGAGCGGCGGCAGAGGTAGACGCTGTTGTACGTCCTGCCCAGTCTGCACGCCTCTCTCTGGCCAGCCCCAGCTGGGGAAGCTGCGCTCCCCCCCGCCCCCCCGGGGGGGAGCCCGCCGCACCGACGGAGGGAACTCCCTGGAGAGGGGTGTCGGAGGGCCCTCCCAGGGGCTTCAGTCAGATCGGATCATAAGGACGCGCAGCAATGACGCAGGGGCCAGGGAGCGTCGCTCCGCGCAGCCGAAGTGCCGCCAGCCCCAAGGGTACCCTGAGAGGCTAGCCAGCGGAAGCGGCCAAGGTCGGGCCACAGAGGCAAGGACGAAAAGGACCCCTTGGAAACGTTGCACTTGTCCTGCTGATCCTGCTTGACTCTACGGGCCACAACTCCCCCAGCTGGTGGCTGGCCTGCCTCCGCGCTGGCGAGGCCCGCGACCGCCAGCATGCTGTCCACGTGCGCGGCGGTGTGCTTGAGCTCGAGCTCCTGCCGCTCCGCCTCTCGACACGGGATGCGCACGCAGCGCGCGGCGATGCCCTCGGCCACGAGACGCTCCCAGATGCGGAGGATCCTGAGCGGCTGCTCGGGATGATCATCCTTGGGCGCTGCTCTGTGGGTGGGTGTGGGGGGGGGTAGGGGGGAAGGAGAACATGCAATTCAGGGGGGGGGGAGGGAGAGGGGAGGGGGAAGAGAGGTGCACCTCTCGTGCACCTTCGGGGCCCCAGGCGGGGCCCTTTCAGGCCCCTTTCCTGCGGCCCTCGATCCCCGCCCACCCTGATGGCCCCCCCCACCAACGACAAGCCCGAATCCTCGTCCAAGTTACGGTGCCTGGCCATGCGCCTGTCAAACAGCAGGCCCACGCCGCTGCCGTCGTAGCTGGGCTTCTCCACCTTTTTTGGCATGAAGCAGGCGGGTCCCGAGGGAAACGGGTCATGGGCCCCCAGCCTTCCCCCAGGAAGACCTGTTCGTCCTGAGCCGTTTCTTGACAGTCTCTGTGGGCCCGTGGAGGGCCCAGGAGGCCAAGAACTGCGAAAAAAACCTCAGGACTGGTTTCCCTCAGGACCCGTCTGCTGCACGGCGAACCTTCTCGGGGGACTCCTCCTCCTCCTCGGACTCCTCCTCTGCAACAACGTCGGCGGCGGGATCCTCTGTGACAAGGTCGGCGGGATCCTGTGGCCGCGGCGCGCCGCAAGACTCGCCCTTTCTCTCTCTCTCTCTCTTTTTCTTTTTTTCTCTCTCGATCTCTCTCTCTTCCTTTCTGCTGCCTTCGCCTCTCTCAGCAGCTCGACCCCTTCGCGCGCGGGACCTGGCAATGCCCAAGAGGATCACAAACCTTCAAAATTGAGTTTCGACCTTTAGTCTGGAAGCTTTTCCCCTTCATCCTGGAAATTGTTTAATCCATAATCGAGGCTTTTGGCCCTCTGGGGCGTCCGTGGCGCCGTCTGAGATCTATGGGTCCCCAGTTTCCTCCCTAGCGTCCTCCTGGAGAAGGGAAGAGGAGGATATGACCATGGAGATTACCCACGATGTATTTTAGTACAGACAACACGTTGCTTTGTTAGGTCAACAGGCGAGTCGAACAACATTTCAATGCGAACGAGGAAATCCAGCAGGCGAACGAGCAACACACGTTCCAAACCAAACCAACCTTTTCCGAAGGGCGAGCCAGGAATCCCGCCAGCCCTCTGGGCGTAGGTGGTTTCACGAGTTTTGTCATATCTCTTCCAACGAGAACCCCTCTCACGACCCTCTCCCCTGGACAGTCTACAAAGACCCTGCAATATCCCTGCAAAGCCCCCTGCAAAGGACCCTGCAAAACGACCCTGCAATGCCCATGAACGCCCACGCTACAAAGACCCTTCAACAGCCCTGTCTAACACCCTGCAACCCCCCTGCAAGACCCTGCAATACCATGCAACGCCTTGGAACGCCTTGCAGGTTTTCGTCACAGCCTGCAGTGGAACGCCTCCCAGACCCACCCAAAGAGTCCCAAGAGGGCCCCAAGACCCCCCAAAAGAGCCCCAAGAGGGCCCCAGGATTGCCCCCAGAGGCCCGACGGGTACCCCAAGAGAGCCCCTGAGATGGCCTTCGGTATCCTCCAATAAGCTTTCACAACAACAGCCTCCTCCCTCCTCCTCCTCCTCCTCCTCCTCCTCCTCCTCCTCCTCGTCTCATCATCGTTATCATCATCATAATCAGCAGCATCACCATCATCCTAATCATCATCATCGTCACCACCATCATCATAATCAGCACCATCATCATCAGCATCATCAGCATCGTCAGCATCATCAACATCATCATCAGCATAAGCATCATCAGCATCAGCATCATCATCAACATCAGCATCATCGGCATCATCATCGCTGTCATCACCATAAGCAACAGCATCAGCATCATCAGCATCAGCATCAGCAGCAGCAGCATCATAATCAGCATCAGCATCAACATCATCATCACCATCACCATCACCATCACCATCATTATCATCATCAGCATCAGCATCAGCATCAGCATCAGCATCAGCATCAGCATCAGCATCAGCATCAGCATCATCTGCATCAGCATCAGCAGCATCAGCATCGGCATCGGCATCAGCATCAGCATCAGCATCAGCATCACCATCATCATCATCATCATCATCATCATCAGCAGCAGCAGCAGCACCATCAGCAGCACCAGCACCAGCACCAGCACCAGCACCAGCACCAGCACCAGCACCCAGCACCAGCACCAGCACCAGCACCAGCACCAGCACCATCATCATCATCATCATCATCATCATCATCATCATCATCATCATCAGCATCATCATCATCATCATCATCATCATCATCATCATCAGCATCATCATCATCATCATCATCATCATCATCATCATCATCATCATCATCATCATCATCATCATCATCATCATCTCATCATCTCATCATCTCATCATCTCATCATCTGTCTCGTGCCGCATTCCTCCTCCTCCTCCTCCTCCCCCTCCTCCTCCTCATTCGCCCTTTTTCCTCGTCCTCCTCCTCCTCCTCCCCCTCCTCCTCCTGCACCCAAAATGGTCCCAGGAGGTTTTTGGAAAGCTCGGCAAACAACTCGCGGGAGCATTCGTTCTGGCAGCTATTCCCAAAATGCCTCGAAGAACGCCGCCGAGAGGCAGTAATGACGCCTCCGTGTTAGGAGAACATTTGCTGAATGTTTCAACAGATCTTCCCGCAGTTGCTGCGACCCCGAAACGCTTCCAAGGCGGCTGAAACACTACATGTTTCTACGTCCCCTCCTCCTTCGTCCCTTCCGTCTTTCCTTCCTGCCTCTTCCCTCCTCCATGTTCACCTCATGTTCCCGCCCCCGTGGGACCCCAACGAAGCGGTGCGGCATGGGAACAGTTGTGAGAACATCCAACGCATGTTCCCGCCGTCTCTGCGCCTCCAAAGCGCTTCCAAAACGAACGTTCCACTGCGCGTTTCTTCACTTATCAGACCAAGGCAACTCGCCGGTCCCACGAAGACCCCGCGAGGGCATCAATCAGGCCCTAAGAACTCTTCAGAAACCTCTCACAACAACACATCTGCAAGGCTGCCTCCTCATCCTCTTTGTCCTCGTCCGTTCCGTCTTCCAGTCCTTCCTGCGCCCTACCTTCCCCTCCTCTTCCTCCTTCCGCCATCCTAATTGCCCCGAGAAGGCCCCAAGATACTTCCAAGAAGTCTCCCAAAGTTTCCAATGACGCTGGGGCTGCATGGGAACATGTGCTACATCATTCAACACATGTTCCCGCCGTCTCTGCGCCTCCGAAGCGTTTCCACACCGGTTGTCGCACTGCGTGCTTCTACACTTCCCTGATCAAGGCAACTCACCTGGCGATCGTTTCTGGATGGGCTGGTGGGGATACTTTTTGATCGCGACCGCAAGCGGGCACCCGCACGGCGTCAGGAGGTCGCGAAAAGAGCGCAAGCCGGTGCTGTCGCAGGCGAGGCGCGGAAAAGGGCCATGATGGTGGCGAGAACTGCCAGCGGCAGGGGCGACGACGAACGAAAGAAACAGGAAAAGAGGCGCAAGAGCGAAGGGGCGGCGACGAAGACACAGCAGAGGAAAAAGGCGACAGAGCGGACAACAGAGGAAGAGAAAAACAAGAACTGAAAACAAGAGAGCTAAGCCGCAGCTCAGACGTGAAACAAGCAAAAGATCGTCCGCACCATGCAAAACTACCTGTATTTGTCGTAAGTAGGCAACAGGGCCCGAAACCAATCCAGTCGGATGCGGTGCCGCGGAGAAGCAAGAAGACCACGGAGCTGAGGTACCAACGGCGGCAGGAGCAAGTGGTAGCGCAAGAGCGCCCTTGCTGAAGGTCATGCAGCACCCCAGGCCATCTCCAGGGCCAGCGCAGGGGCGAAAGAGCGCGGGGAACATCCCATCCCACGAGCCCGGGGGGGGGGGGGCATGAGGTGAGGGGGTCCGTCAGAGAGAGGCAGCAGACAGTTGCCAGGAGCTCGATTGCTTTCGGGGGGGAAGCTGTTGCACGTGCCAGTGCCGCCTACGAACATCCCGGCGCCACGCCCGGCTAACAGCCGCAGAGCGATGGGGGATTGCATCACCTGAGACATGCAGCTCTAATTTCGCCTGAGACGTACAGCCGCCCAACAAGGGCATGAGTAGTAGGGGCGGACCGGGGGGTACGGGCCGCGCCTGCTGGGTCGGTTGGGGCGCAGCTAACAGCCGCAAGATTCAGGGGAAGTCCCGCCTGACACGAGCCGATGCTTTGCTGGGGTGCAGCTAGCAGCCGCAGAATCATGAGAAAAGGTTAGACCTGAGGCAAACCGATGCACGACTGGAGTGCAGCTGACCGCCGCGGTGTGATTGTGGAAAACTTCGCCTGAGACGTGCTGGCATATTGGTAGGGTGCAACTAACAACCGCAGAAAAGTGGGACATGGTTATTTCCGCCTGAGACATGCCGATGCCATGCTGGGGCGCAGCTGACAGCCGCAGAATGATGGGAAGAGGTTGCACCTGAAACAAGCCGCAGACCGACTGGAGTGCAGCTGACAGCCGCGGTGCGATTGGGGAAAACTTCGCCTGAAACGTGCTGGCGTACTGGTGGGGTGCAGCTGACAGCCGCAGGAACGTGGGAAAAAGGTTATATCCTAGTTCTCTGGTAGGGAGCAGCTAACAGCTTCACGACTGTGGGAAATGGTAAAATTCGCCTGAGACATTCTGCGCCTGAGATGGACCGACGACCAGGGGGGGTGAAGTAAGCAGCCGCGAAATTAAAGGAAACGGTCCCACCTGGAGCAACCTGGGCCGGAGTGCACGAACAGCCTCCGAACTTTGGATGATAGCAACGCCTGAAACAGATAAATCATCTTGCTTCGCGTTTGCTTCGCATGAAACGTCCTGGTGCTCTGGTAAGGTGCAGCTAACAGCCGCAGGAATGTGGGAAATGAAGACCTTCGCCTGCGACACACTGGTGCTCTGCATGGACGCGGCAAGCAGGGATATAGCCGAATGCCGTAGACGGCCACGAGCCGGGGGAAGTATCTTCGCCTGAGACATGTTACGCCTGAGATGGACGGACGACCAGGGGGCGAAGTTAGCAGCAGCTGAATGAAGGGCGACGGTGCCACCTGGGGCAACCTGAGCTGGAGTGCAGCTAACAGCCGCAGCACGCTGGATGATTGCAGCGCCTGAGACATATAGGTCCTCTGGTAGGGCGCAGCTAACAGCCACAAGAAGGGGGATATAGCTTCGCCTGAGACGCGCAGCCCAGGGGGCACGGGCCGAGCCTGCATAGAAAGTAGGGGTGCAACACGCAGCCGCAGAGCGGGGGGGGGGGGAACCAGAGACAACCTGAGACCCGGCTGCAGCTGACAGCCGCAGTGTGGTGGGGGATTGCTTCGCGCTTGCTACGCTGAGACGTCCAGGTCCTCTGGTGGGGTGCAACTGACAGCCGCGGGAAAGTGGGAACTGGTTTACTTCGCCTAAGACATACTGAAGCTTTGCGTGGGGGCGGCAAACGGGGGGGTAGCCGAATGCCGCAGACGGCCACGAACCGGGTGAAGTGGCCAGAAGGATCGTCGAGCCCAACCCGCACGGAGATACCACCCCAAACCGAGGAACAAAAACAAACCGAGGAAAAACCCAAACCGAGGAAAAAAAAACAAACCGAGGAAAACC